TCAGTCCAAGTTTTTTATTGGTATTTCAAATCTTCTGACTCATTTGCTACACCTTCATTCTTTGTTCAAATATTATTGTCTAAGAGTATGTTCATAGTGAAGATGCTTAATGCGATGCTTTCTTCGCTATCTCGATGATCGCTTCCGCGATCTGACCACGATGTGAAACAAACAGATGTTTTAAGTTGGGAGTGTTCATGGTAACGATGCATTCTGTGCCTCTACCTTTGCCTCCTCGTGGTCGACCGCGCAGAAGAACAAATATTTTTTTTACCTCGCTGTCAGGAGGGAAACATAGGGGTGGGCTTAGCAGTGATTGGTTCTTTAAAGGTCGTGCTCGTTCCTCAGCAAGAGTTGGATTACTGTGCAAGCTGGTGTACTTGCGGTCGTCCAGTTAGAGACTCAACTTTGTCGAGTATGTAACCAAATGTATCTGTCGACATTCTCATGTAGGAGTGGAGTCTTTGCTTGCGTCTCTTCAATTCAAAAGATGGTGGTACTCTCCAAGTTCCTGTCTCGCTTTGTTTACTGGATGTGTACTGTATTTTCGATGTGATAGAAAACTAAACATCCACCACTTGGTTACTAGAGACAAATCACTCTCACTGTCACTGTCGCTTGACAACATTCTGCATTAGTATTCGCTCGTGAACAAATGAAACATTAGGAACAGCGTTCGAGGTGAGAAGAGAAAACATCGAGGGTGAATTCAGTATGAACACCCTCCATCCATGTAGAAAGTCGCGAGGAAGCGCTCATCGTGGTAGCGAATAAAGCATCACAGTAAGCATCTTTCACTATGTACGTACCCTAAGGGTATGTTTCTTGCGTCTTCGCTACCTCGATGATCGCTTCTTCGATCTGACCGCGATGTAAAAGAAACACGTTTTAAGTTGAGCGCGTTCACAGCGACGATGTATTCTGCGGCGCTACCTTCGCATCGTCGCGCTCGACCGCGCCGAAGAACAAATATTTTGTTTTTACCTGACAGAAGGTTAACATCGGGGTGGGCTTAGCGGGGATTGGTTCTTTAAGGTGGCGCTCGTTCCGATGGTACTCCAGGTCGTCCAGTAGAGGTCAACTTTGTCGAGTATGTAACCAAATGTATAGTATCTGTCAACATTCTCATGTAGGAGTGTAATCTTTCCTTGTCTCTCTTTAATTAGACGAAAAGATGGTGGTACTCTCCAAGTTCCTGTCTCGCTTTTTTACTGGATGTGTTGAGAGGTTAGGTCGCCGCCTTATGGGGTGAAATGAAGAACATACTTTGTTGCTTGCTGCTTTGAATTCTTGGAGTTTTATTGTTGTACACAATTGCAGTCTGTATTAGACGTTTTACAATAACACTCTTTTCGTTAATATTCAAACTTTACAATTATTTAGACAGTTTTTGTCGTGCTGAGAAGAAAAACGTGTGGACTGTATCTGGTTCTCTCAACTCTCTCTCGACGTTGCCACCTTGAGCCGATTGCTCGGGATTCGCGAAAACAGGATCTGTACTGCATTTTCGGTTCGGTAGAGAACTAAACATCCACCACTTGGTTACTAGAGACATTATTATAATTCGTTCGTGAGCAAATAAAACATAAGCCCCGTTCGAGGAGAGAAGAGAAAACATCCCGGGTGAATTCAGTATGAACAACCTCCATCCATGTAGAAAGTCGCGAGGAAGCGCTCATCGAGCATCACAGTAAGCATCTTTCACTATGTACGAGGGCGGTTCAATAAGTACCCGTGTTTCAAGTCAGAGGGCGTTCCTGAGGGACGTTAATGTTGTCATCGTGCGCTGCCATCTATCAAACGACGGCACAACAAATTTCAGTCTGATTCTCTAATTGATAGGTTAGTTTGGATTTAGGAGCCATTCGAGTAACACGTGTTTCATGATTTTCGGTAAGATGGAACAAATGCGAGGAGACGAACCTCGCGTTTTTGATGAGGATCGACCAGAACGCCCGGCAGACGTGGTTACCAAGGAAATAATTCAAAAAGTCCACGACATGATTCTCGCTGATCGACGAACGAAAGCGCGCGAAGTATATAGGCCGTAGGTGTGTCGACCGGAACGGCAACCAATATTTTGCATTTTAAGTTGGCTATGAAAAAATTGTCTGCCCGATGGGTGCCGCGATTGCTCACGGTGGACAACAAGCGGATGCGGCTGTTAACTTCGAAACAGTGTTTGGAGCAATTCAAGCGAAATCCGAAGGAGTTTTTGCGTCGAGTTATCACCGTCGATGAAACCTGGATTCATCATTACACATCAGAAACTAGGCAACAATCAAAACAATGGTTTTCTCTCGGTGAATCTGCTCCAAAGAAGGCGAAGACTGTCCCATCTGCCGGAAAGATCATGGCGACGATTTTTTGGGATGCGAACGGCGTCATCCTCGTGGATTTTAAGGAAGAACGATCACTGGACAATACTATAGTGAGTTATTCGACCGCTTCGACAAAAAAGGGAAACATCGCGGTGGGTTTAGCGGTTGGTTCCTCAGCAAGAATTGGATTACTGTGCAAGTTGATGTACTTGCGGGCGACCAGTAGAGGATCAACTTTGTCGCGTTTGAAACCAAATATTTCCTTGTCTCTCTTCAATTCGAGGAAAAGATGGTGGTACTCTGGATGTGTACTGTATTTTAGATTTGGTAGAGAACTAAACATCCACCACTTGGTTACTAGAGACAATTCTCTCTCACTGTCACCGTCGCTCGACATCCTCCCTTATTATTCGCTTGTGAACAAATGAAACATTAAGAACCGCGTTCGAAGAGAGAAAAGAGGGTGAATTCAGTATGAACACCCTCCATTCATGTAGAAAGTCGCGAGGAAGCGCTCATCGAGGTAGCGAAGATAGCATCACAGTAAGCATCTTTTAATATGTACGTACCCTAGGAATCGTTGGCCAATTTTTAATTTAAATCTTTCATAGGCAACACCAGGTGGCCAGATGGCCAGAAACCTCTATCATATAATTTATCTTTAAAATCGAAATGGATCCCAACAAGGAAGCATCCATTATCCTTACTTTATAGCGAGTATACAGATTTTTACCTCAATATTTCTTTCATCAGTTTGTAATTTATTCTTGAGATACACCTTTACTTTTTGCTCTGTGACTGTATTCTTCACTCGTTTTACGAAGATCCATGCCTTTTCATTCTTCTTTCTTCCTTCAACTACAAAGTTGTCATCTGCAGCTTCTCTTGTACCAAATTGTATTCTTCTGCGGCTTTTCCTTCTATTCACAACATCAGTGAAGTGATCTAAGTTTGGTAGGGTATTTTTAGTTTTTATAGCCTGTTCATTGACCTTGTTATGACTAGGTCTTCTATCTTCATCCTGATTTGAGATCTACATAGTACTTAGCAAGGTTTCTCTGCTCGTCAAACAGATTTGACTGTACAGGTTGCTTATTCTGTTGTTTCTGCTGAAAAGGTGTACCTTGTACTAGCTGTTTCCTAAGCACAATAGCTGTATTATTTATGGCTGAAGCTGACACACTATTGTCTGAATCGATGACCTTATGTATTTCGTAGTTAACTGATTCATTCGAGTAAGAGAGCTTTCATAAAGGCTTGTAAGTTTCCCAATTTCCAAGGTTAGCGCACTTAGCATATCACTAGTTTCATAATGAGTTATAATATTTGGTCTGCATATCTCAGAAGCACATAACTGAGAACATGTTTTGCAGAACATCTTTTTGCAAAATTCACAGCAATATGACTGCCTGGAGGTTGTTGGAATTAAGGTAGCACATTTTCCACATGCTATTTCCATATTTGCTGCTATATTAGCAATATTTGTATTTTATATGACTTTTATACCCTTGTGTGAGAAATAGTGATCTACACCACTGGCACCAGAAAAGTTGTGAATATTGTCCTAAGAGTTTGGTTTTCCGGAAGCCAGTTGTTTTTGTAAAACAGCGCAAAACCCAAAAAACCTCTTTTTCGCTGAAACGGCTTAGGATATCTAGGATGTTTTTACACGTAAATTTTTCTTAATTTAGGGCCATCAAAATAGGTCTCTGCAATTTTTTTGCAGAATTGCTTAGTTTTCGCGCTACTGCTTGCCGATTGCTTGCGGCGAGGGGATTGTGGCTTGCGGGGTCAAAGACGTACACCTACCACCATCCGCCGCACTGTTGACGCGAACGATCCTCTTGCAGTAATTTCTCTTCAGCCGCTTACCGATTGACTGGATAAGTATTTCCATTTAGAATTGGAACAACGACAAAAAACCTAGAGCTGCAAAAAAGGTGTGAACGTGTATATAAATGAATGGCAATGAAGCCCAATGAGTCATCAAACGTTTTCGCGGCTCCATGATGAGATATTTAGCAGTGTTTGAGCCGCGTCTATACGTTGGGCTAACATACGCCAACGCAAATAAGTAAAGAATAGACAATGGCTGATTATGATGAGCATTTGACGATGTCTTCTGTGCACACTCGCTGTGGAAAAATATAATAATGCTCATTGGTCTAGTCCTAGTCTCAACGTATCGGTGTACGTTAGCTTGACGTGTAGACACGGCAGTATGCTCTGCTGTAAAACTTATCTGCACAGGACTTCACAACTTTTTTGTGCAGCTCAGGGATTTTTTGCGTTTCCAATTATTGATAATGGAATGACTATAAGTACGTGTGTGTACATTTCAGAGTTGGGTTAATTGAACAGAAACATAATAATTAAATAATTTTCATCCTATCAAAATAGAAAATACACAAAATTGATGCATCTTCCTATAAATGGTTTGTCCATAATTTGTTGTTTCCAATGAAATATACGGAAAAAATATTTAACTGCAATTCTGAAATGTACACACACTTTCCTCACTTATCCAGTCAATCGACAAGCAACTGAAGATAAATTACTCCATTTACGCATAAACTTCGAAAGTTAGTTCATTAGGAAAAGTCTGTGCACGCCGAACTGACAAGCGAGCTCAGGGTTCAAGATTCAGTTGTTACAGTTCAGAATTTTCTCTTATTTTAGCACTTTATGCCTTTACCACCAGAGGACGCAGACTTAGAAAAAATGCCCAATTTGGATTTAACTTCAGTAGAATGTCTACTGTACGCCTTCCATAGATTGGCGCGACAATGTCCCGACTTTTTGACAGCAGATCCAGCAGTCCTTAAAGATTTCCGGGCACGACTTACATATTTTTCAATAGGTGTATGTGGTTGTAAAAGGTGAGTAGTTTAATAGAATTGCTACGCTAAATTTCCATCTTTGCTTGCAAAAACAGGGGTTAATCTTATTTTGCAGGTCTCTAGAAAAACACTCTGGAAAGAAATTGAATGAAGATCAGCAGAAAATTGCTCCTGCACTATTTGAAAATATAAGTAGTCTCATAAATGATTTGTATTATACTGTCCCAATCTATGAGTGTAAAATTCAACTATCATTCAAATCCCTCACAAAGAAAATCCAGGTGAGCGTTTCTTTATTATTTTCTTAACTGGATACCTTATTCAGGTTGTTCTTTGTTAGCTTTCACCAGAAAAAAGTTCAGTACCTCAGAAGAGGCACACTCCTATTCATTTTGAATCAAGTAATGGTTCTGCACCTAAAAACGCCAGGCCCAGTAAAGGAGAAGGAATTAAACTGTACGCGCCTCCTAGTGGGAAGTTTAGCAACAATTTCCAGAGCTATGGTATGGACATTTTTTATATATTATAATATAATTTAGTTACTAACAAAGGTTCCAAGGTTAAAATAATGAGTTTGACTCTAAATTTTATACTGTATCATGTATGAGAGGAGCGACCTAAATAATAACAATCTATTCACCGTTTTGGTGCAATTTGAACTCACAAGTCCGGCAATTTTTCTGCCATTTACGCTGGACCACCATTTTATGAAGTTTTTCAGAGCTGTTATGTGCATGATGGATGATTTCCTTCTGTTTTCCAGACTATACACGGTATCTCATTTAAATGTCCCCCCTAAACAAAAGTGTAGGTTTTCGAGAGAGCAAAATGATGTTGACCATTACAATGACTTTGGCTAGGACACTCAAGGTCGTTTCAAGGTAAAGTGAATTTGTTCTCTCTCCCTTTCGACATCGGAATTGAAAAGAGGAGCAAATTTTACGTCCTAACATCGCCTTGGACATGACATTGACCATTGCCTTCAGAGCATTTTAGGGTCAAATCAAGACATAGAGAACAGTTTGCTATAACACAAATGTTCGACAACACCTTTGTGTGGATAGCCGAAAGGTGACCTTGACGATGACCTTAAGTCAAATTTTCCAAGGGAAACTTTTATGTTTTCACTGTGCATGGAAAAAATATATTTTACATTCGAGTATAAAATTGGCCTCTAAGTCAAGGTCGTGTTAATCATAAATCTTATTTGAGATCAAGGTTATATTCGGATGTAAACTTCCCTGCCTTTTTCATTTCCAGAATCAAATTGAGAGATTTTCTTTGGAGATGATGACTTAACGTTGAATGTCATGGTCAAGGTCACCTTTAGGTGATCATCTCAAAGCTCACAACTGTGCTGTCAAATATTTTTGTCAGAGAAAATTGTTCGGACCTTGGCATGACCTTGAACAGGATGGTCAAGGTTATGATCAACCTAGGTAGACGTAAAATTTGCTTTTCTTTTCAATGCCGATGGGAAGAAAGAGGGGTTCAATTTGAAAATATTTACTAGTCCTTGAAATGACCTTTAATTTCGTAGCCAAGGTCACTGTGAAGATCGCTATCATTTCGCCTCGCTACATCTTTGGTTCGAAACTTTTTTTTCTAGGATGTGCAATTTTCGAAATATTTTGGTGGGGAGATTGAAAAGGGGCTCCGTGTATATTCAACATAAAAGTGTCGCTACACACGAGCGTTAAATTGATGCAACCTGCATTGTTCCATATTTATTACTATGCAGACACATTTAGTAACAGGTCAAATCGGCAGAGATCCAGATGTTTTGCAGTAATGTGCATACAATCACTAGACATTTGAGCAGTCTCAACGCCGAGTAAAGCAGACACTAGATCAGGATTTGCCACCCTTTGAGTATCTAGAAAGGGACAGAATCCTCCATATGCAAAGAGACCGCTTTAGACATGATGACGTCACGCAAATGGCAGACGCACATTGGTACATATTATAGGAGTTATCAGTTCAAATCGGAAGTCCTGTTATGCATATTGCATTATTTAAAGTTTTTCTTAGTCAGTCTATAACAATTAGTAAATTAGACCATGATATCTAAAAGAAGCTGGTTTACAACGGAACTATATTCTTGAGGTTATACGGCAAGACCCGTCTCCGAGGGATACAAAAAGATTTGCTGGCTAACTTTTATTTATCGTCAAAGTTGTAAAAACCTCTTTTTACGTATAAGTTGCCCAAAAAAAACTTTTAGGGATGGAAATATCTGCAAAATAAGAGCTAACACGGTCAGTTTGCCGTAGTAGTTAATATGTCATTACAAAAATATCAGAAACCGTATTTCTAGATTTATTTTGTACTGGAAAATGTATAACTATGAACCTGGAATAATAGCCATACAACATCAAGAACGCCATTGAAAAACGCACAACAGGTTTCTGCATTTTTTTAATTGTTACTAATTTTCAGTAAAAATGCCTTTCTTGACAAGCTGTCCACTTCCGATCATTCAAATGGGGCCATATTAGGCGTAATCTCTTGTCGAGACTCTTAGGTTAATTAATATCTTATTCAGATAGATACTAGATTTTCTTATACTAACGTAAAAAAGCGATGCTAAGACAACATCTATTTTTGCCTTATAAAACAATTAGAATAAGTCCATTGTTTTTTGACAGTCGTGATTAGGATGCTTACTTCTGAAAAGCTGATGAAAAATACACACTTTGACAAGAAAATGAATTTTTTTGAGACCTTGGGGGCCAAAATATCATTTTTTTCCTCAAAGAAGCCATTGTAACATTAATCACCTTATTAAGAATCGCAATTAAGTCCACATATTAAAACGATTTCAAGTTTATCAAGCTGCCTGATCAAAACTATAAGGTTTCATATTGACTCTACCTACACCTTACAAAGGTGAGGCATTTCACACAGTTCAAATTATGTCTGTTTTTCAGAGTCGTAAGCATACACAGGCTGAAAGGATGATAGCCGTGTTTGTCAAGGCGCCCGACCTCTCCTGGCAATTAGAGCCTTCACACACTACGTCGTATCGCAATCGTATCGTAATACGCGCGTAGGACAAGAGCAAAACGACCTCGTATGTATGCTAACAAGTCCGCACACGAAGCGGTATTGCAGCGAAGCATATGAGATGTTCAGTCGTATTACGATAGGTGTAGCGGACTGGCGTAAGTTGTGTTAATTGCTCTCCATATGGCTGAAATGTCTCCTTCCTCGTTCGATAAAAGCTTCGGAATTTATTATCATCTTCTAAAAGTCCACGTGCAGAAACAAACAATCTTTTCTTCTTAATACTTGCGATGTTGCGTAATGGTGTGATAAAGGCTTAACGTAATTTTTTTTTTAATTTAGGGCCATCAAAATAGGTCGCTGCAATTTTTTTGCTAAATTGCTTAGTTTTCGCGCTACAGCTTGCCGATTGCTTGCGGCGAGGGGATTGTAGGTTGCGGGGTCAAAGACGTAGACATATCACCAGCCGCCGCACTGTTAACGCGAACGATCCTCTTTTACTATTGGATATGTGGACGTCTTCAGTGTCTCACTCTCAGTGTTAGGCCAGTCGATCTCGAATAATAAGTTCGTTTGTAGTTGTGGCATTCACCGACGTATGCGTATTAATGAACTTTTGAAATTTATGCGTTTAAGCACAGCCGACGTCAACTACGAGCCGTGAACAAAGAAATCTGGCAACGTAGGTGGTAGTGTTACTCCCGTCGCTCAAAACGCTGAGAAAACATAACCTTTTCAATTTATGATTTGGCAATCGCAGAGGCTGTAATTAAGAGATAAGCTTGTTTTCTAAGCTTCAAAGTGTGTGTATGTGTTCAAAGTGATCGGTGACTATAATATATGAGAAATAGACTCCAGTTGTAGTGCTTCTGTGCTTTAAAAATAAACTAAGAAGTGTGACTGTGGCTGTTCGCGCCTCAGGACGCTAAGGATTTCAACTATTGAAAACGTGCAAATTCATGAAAAAGCTATCCAGAATTTCGATGATATGGATAAGATCAAAGACTTTCAAGAATTACATTCTTCATTTTCAAAAATTAAAGCCTCACAGAAATGGAATAATAAATTATCTGATGGAAAGCTATATTTTTATAAATTGGATTTTGAAAATGATATCTTAACTTTGAATACACAGATTATAGTTGATGGTCAGTTGGAAGTTCAGGTTGTTCATAAAGGATGCAAGCTTTTCTTTTAGTGACTTGAAGTGGGTTTTGCCATATGATCTCAAAATTACCAGATGGTCCCAATTAGAAAACCTGCTAAATAGGTATTTTTTCTATTTTTCTGAGAACCAACACAAAAACTCTGTTGAACTTTGCATCATGAATGCATTGGAACAACTTGACACAGCAATTTCCATAATTAATAATGACTCAGTTATGTTTCCATATACAAAAAATCTAGAGATTATTGCTGATCAGCTGAGACAAAATCAAAACAGGAAAAACAGATATGCATCACTTTTAATAACAATGGCTTTTACGTTTTATAACCACTCATCATCAACATATAATTTAATTAAAAGATTTTTTATTTTGCCAAGTAAGCGATACTTACAACATATCTCCTCAAGTATGGATATATCTCCAAAAAATGATAGGAATAATGAACACTACCTTTCGAATATAGCAATTAAATTAGCTCCAAGAGAAAAAATTGTAATTTTGATGATCGATGAAATTTATATAACATCTAGGCTGGACTATCGCTCACAAAACATTGTTGGGTATGCCTCAAATAAAAATGACATGGCTAAAACTGTTTTAGCCTTCATGCTATCTTCAGCATTTGGAAACATAACAGAAATTATCAAATTACTACCAGTTTCAAATCTAACAGGTGATGAAATGACACCTTTGGTTGAACATGTGATAAATTTAGTTCAAAAATGTGGATTTGAAGTTATTTGTATTGTTACTGATAATCACCGAATTAATAGAGTAATGTTCAGGAAATTAGCAAAGGATTCATCAGAAAATTATTCTATTCCAAATCCACATAATCCTGATAAGAACATATATTTAACTTATGATGTTGTGCATATTTTCAAGAGTATCAGAAATAATTGGATTAATTTAAAAAACCTAGACAAAACTTTTGTATATCCTAATTTTGACAATAATGATATTATTCAGTATGCTAAATTTGAAAACATTCGTGCTGTATATCAATTGGGAAAAGAAGCTGTAGTTAAGAAAGCATATAAATTAAATTATAAAACATTGCATCCAAATTCATTTGAAAGGCAAAATGTAAATTTTGTAGATAATTTATTCCATCACTCAACAATAGCTGCTATGAAAGAATTAAAGTTTAATGATGCTGCACACTTTTTGGAAATATTCAGGAATTGGTGGGATATTGTCAGTAATACAAGTGTAATAAAAGGAGAATTGAAGCGAAACGAATTTTGTAAGCCTATTACCAATAAATATGATTATAGAGTACAATTTTTAAAAAAATTCCTGATATGGTTAGAAAATATCAAAGCACA